GTAAAAGGAATTCAACACTAAATGCCTTTGTCTTAAATTCGATCAAATGCGTCTGAAATAGTCAGTTCAGATACAGTCTTTATACGAAATCTATGTCATTGATAATTCTACTAATACATATTTTTTTCAAAACAAAGTTAACGGAAAATGGTCCGCTTGGAAACCATGGAGTTCTTGCTCAGTCACGTGCGGTGAAGGTAGCCAATCACGATCAAGAACATGTACAAACCCTGCACCAGCCCATGGAGGTAGAAAGTGTGCAGGAAAAGACAAGCAAAGAAGAAAATGTAAAGCAGGCAAATGTCCAAGTAAGTCCTCCATATTCACCAAGTGAGAGGAAATCAACACTACATTCACTTGACTTTAATTTTTAAAATACGTTTGAAATAGTTGGTGCAGATACAGTCTTTACACGGAACCTTTGTCATTGATAATTATATTAACACAAGTTTTGCTCCAAATGAAGTTGACGGAAATTGGTCAGCTTGGAAAGCATGGAGTTCTTGCTCAGTCACGTGTGGCGAAGGCAGCCAATCACGATCAAGAACGTGTACAAATCCTGTACCAGCCCATGGAGGTAAAGATTGTGCAGGCAAAATGAAACAAACACGAAAATGTAAACCAGCCAAATGTCCGGGTAAGTCGCTCCTTCCCATATAACAGGAAATTAGCACTACATGCATTTGTCTTGAATGCGATCGAATACTATCGTCTGACGAAAAGCAATTCTGCTAACACAATTTAATTCAAAAAAGTTGACGGAAAATGGACTGCGTGGAAACCATGGAATCCTTGCTCAGTCACGTGTGGTGAAGGTAGCCAATCACGATCAAGATCGTGTACAAATCCTCCACCAGCCCATGGGGGTAACCAGTGTAAAGGAAAGGGCAAAGAGATTAGAAAATGTAAAGCGAAAAAATGCCCAGGCAAGTAAAACTGTCAATTAATCTAAAACGAAATATAAACGCCACATTCAAATAGATCATTGCTACAACAATAAACAATCATTGTTTCAAAAAAAAAGTTGACGGAATTTGGTCGGCTTGGAAACCATGGAGTACTTGCTCAGTGACCTGTGGTGAAGGCAACCAATCACGATCAAGAACATGCACAAACCCTGCCCCATCCCATGGAGGTAAAACCTGTCCAGGAAAAGACAAGCAGAACCGTAAATGTACAGCAGGCAATTGTCCGGGTAAGTCGATCCTTAGCTATCCCCTCAGTTTTGAATACGATCGAATACCTCTGAAATAGTCAGTGAAGATACAGTCCTTCCACTTAAGCCGTTGATATTATTGTTCTTGTCCGTAAAGTTGACGGAAAATGGTCAACTTGGAAACCATGGAGCCCTTGCTCAGTCACGTGTGGTGAAGGTAGCCAATCACGATCAAGAATGTGTACAAATCCTCCACCCGCACATGGGGGTAACCAGTGTGTAGGTTTGGGCAAACAGACTAGAAAATGCAAAACAAAAAAATGCCCAGGTACGYGGATTTAAACATGAACAAAATGAAAATTCCACCATCATTCATAGTATGAAAAACTCATCAACAGTACAAACTTTTAATAAATCAATAACTTTCTTATAACAGTTGATGGTAAATGGTCCGATTGGAGACCGTGGRRATCTTGCTCAGCAACTTGTGGAAGCGGAATGCAATCACGGTACAGAAACTGTACTAATCCTGCACCAGCACATGGCGGTAAAGCGTGTGTGGGTGATTCAACCGAATCTCGAGAATGTTCAACGAAATCTTGTCCAGGTATTTGCACARTCTTTTTCTTTTGAATGACCAAGCTTAGATGCAATTCTTTCGACAAAAAGTTGTAAAAGACAATAACCAGTCAGGTCTTTCCCTAATTTTTCAGTTGATGGTAACTGGTCAGACTGGGATCCATGGGGATCTTGTTCAGTTACTTGTGGTGGTGGAAGTCAATCACGATCCAGAAACTGTACTAATCCAGCACAAGCTCATGGTGGCAAAGATTGTGTGGGAACGTCAACTGAATCTAGAGAATGTTCAACCAACGCTTGTAAAGGTATGAGCTTTCATTATTAGAATTAACCAGTTGAGTATTCCATTAATTCGCCAATTCTACTGTTCAGTCGATGGTAACTGGTCAGAATGGGATCCATGGGGATCTTGTTCAGTTTCTTGTGGTGGCGGAAAGCAATCGCGATCCAGAGGTTGTACTAATCCTGCACCAGCACATGGTGGCAACGATTGTGTAGGAGATTCCACTGAATCTAGAAAATGTTCAACGAAAGCTTGTCCAGGTATGAGATTTTTAGTTGGATATTGACCAGTAAGACGATGAATTTATGGTACCAATGTTTCTATTAGTTGATGGTAACTGGTCAGACTGGGATCCATGGGGATCTTGCTCAGTCACTTGTGGTGACGGAAGCCAATCGCGATTAAGAARTTGTTCTAATCCTGCACCAGCACATGGTGGTAAAGCKTGTGAGGGTGATTCAACCGAATCTAGAAAATGTTCAACCAAAGCTTGTCCAGGTATCAACTGTTATTATACGAATTTAMCAATTGAATTTTCCATTAATTCTGCCAATTCCATTATTCAGTTGATGGTAACTGGTCAGAATGGGAACCATGGGGATTTTGTTCAGTAACATGTGGTGGTGGAAGCCAATCGCGATCCAGAAACTGTAACAATCCTGCACCAGCTAATGGTGGCCAAGATTGCGCGGGTGATTCAACCGAATCTAGAGAATGTTCAACCAAAGATTGTCCAGGTATGAACTTTTATTATAAGAATTAACCAATTGAGTTTTCCATTAATTCTGCTAATTCAATTGTTAAGTTGATGGTAACTGGTCAGACTGGGATCCCTGGGGATCTTGTTCAGTTACTTGTGGTGGTGGAAAGCAATCGAGATCCAGAAGTTGTACTAATCCTGCACCAGCACATGGTGGCAAAGATTGCGTAGGAGATTCCACTGAATCTAGAAAATGTTCAACTACATCTTGTCCAGGTATGGCTTTTATCATGATAAATAACTAGTTTAGTGTTTCATCAATTTTGTCAATTTGTTGTTCAGTTGATGGTAACTGGTCAGACTGGGATCCATGGGGATCTTGTTCAGTCACTTGTGGCGGTGGAAGACAATCGCGATCAAGAAGTTGTGCTAATCCTGCACCAGCACATGGTGGCAAAGATTGTGTAGGAGATTCCAACGAGTCTACACAATGTTCAAGTACATCGTGTCCAGGTATGAACTTTTATCATGATACATAACTAGTTGGATGTTTTATAAATCGTGTTAAAAATCTTATTCAGTTGATGGCAATTGGTCAGACTGGGATCCATGGGGATCTTGTTCAGTCACTTGTGGTGTTGGAMGACATTCACGATCCAGGAAYTGTACTAATCCTGCACCAGCTCATGGCGGAAAAGATTGTGTGGGAACTTCAACTGAATCTAGAGAATGTTCAACWAMAKCTTGTCCAGGTACAGAGCTTTACCGTGGAAAATATCTAGCTAGTGGTCTTATTAATTGTGTCAATAATCTTATTCAGTTGATGGTARCTGGTCAGACTGGGAWCCCTGGGGATCTTGTTCARTTACYTGTGGTGGCGGAAAGCAATCAMGATCCAGAAGKTGTACTAATCCTGCACCAGCTCATGGAGGCAAAGATTGTGWAGGGGAYTCCACTGAGTCTAGACAATGTTCAACYACATCTTGTCCAGGTATGGYTTYTATCATGCATGATAAATAACTAGTTTAGTKTCTCATCAATTTTGTMAATTTGTTGTTCAGTTGATGGTAACTGGTCAGACTGGSAWSTATGGGGATCTTGTTCAGTTACTTGTGGTGGCGGAAAGCAATCGCGATCCAGAMGTTGTATTAATCCTGCACCAGCTCATGGAGGCAAAGAYTGTGTSGGAACTTCAACTGARTCTAGAGAATGTTCAACAAAGGCTTGTCCAGGTATGAGCTATAGAGTATAAAAATTGAACAGTTATAGATGATGAATTAATCGTGCTAATTTGTCAATAAGTTGATGGTAACTGGTCAGACTGGGAACCCTGGGGATCTTGTTCAGTTACCTGTGGTGGCGGAAAGCAATCAAGATCCAGGAACTGTACTAATCCTGCACCAGCTCATGGCGGAAAAGATTGTGTAGGAGATTCCACTGAATCTAGAAAATGTTCAACGAAAGCTTGTCCAGGTATGAGTCTTTTAGTTAGATATTGACCAGTAAGACGATGAATTTATGGTGCCACTTTTCTATCAGTTGATGGTAACTGGTCAGACTGGGATCCATGGGGATCTTGCTCAGTCACTTGTGGTGGCGGAAGCCAATCGCGATCAAGAAACTGTATCAATCCCGCACCAGCACATGGTGGCAAAGATTGTGTGGGTGATTCAACCGAATCTAGGAAATGTGCGTCAAAAGCCTGTCCAGGTATGAACTCTTAAGTATGGATGTTCACTAGTTAGACGGTGAATTAATTATGCAATCTTTCTATCAGTTGATGGTAATTGGTCAGACTGGGATCCCTGGAGATCTTGTTCAGTTTCTTGTGGTGGCGGAAAACAATCGCGATCCAGAAATTGTACTAATCCTTCACCAGCACATGGTGGAAACGATTGTGTGGGAACTCCAACTGAATCTAGAGAATGCTCAACCAAAGCTTGTCCAGGTATGCATTTTTTCTGTAAGAATTAACCAGTTGAGTTTTCCACTAATCATGTCAATTTCATAATTCCGCAGTTGATGGCAACTGGTCAGACTGGGATCCATGGGAATCTTGTTCAGTCACTTGTGGTGGCGGAAGCCAATCACGATCCAGGTATTGTACTAATCCAGCACCAGCTCATGGTGGTATRGGTTGTCTGGGAGACTCAAAAGAGTCTAGAGAATGTTCAACCAAAGCTTGTCCAGGTATCAGCTTTTTAGTAAAGAAAGTAACCAGTTAGACGATTAATTAATCTTGCAAAGTTTTCTATTAGTTGATGGTAACTGGTCAGACTGGGATCCATGGGGATCTTGTTCAGTTACTTGTGGTGGTGGAAGACAATCACGATCAAGAAACTGTACTAATCCTGCACCAGCACATGGTGGCAAAGATTGTGTGGGTGATTCAACCGAATCTAGAAAATGTTCAACCAAAGCCTGTCCAGGTATGAACTTTTTAGTATGGATGTTAAATAGTTAGATGATGAATTCATC